GGGGGGGGGGGGGAAAGAAAAGAGAAAACGCAGAAAAACGACAGCCAAAAACGTCCCATCACTACCGCTTCTAGACCTGTCAGGGTCCTTTTTGACGGACCACTTTCCTGACTCTTCCTCCTTCTCGGCCGGCTTCCTGTCTTGGCACATTTGCCTTTCTCGCAGTAGTGTACATAGTACAGCACTCAGGGCCACTCAGTCTTTGTCCCACCGTGCCGATTCGGATGCAAGAGTTGACGGGAATACAGGGGGGTCATCCGGTGCCGAGCTCTCTGTTAACTGATTGCACTAGTAGTCCGGGCTGGGTTGGGGGCCAGATGTCCTATTATGCCCGCCTGTCATTGGTCGGTTGGCGGTTGTGGCGATCAAGATGGGATGTCGCCCGTTGGTGAACAGTGGGGAGGGGTGGGGGAAGGAACCATGAGGAGGTAAAAGACATGTAATTTGATTGGTTGGTGTCGCTGATGCTACCTCTAGGGGCCGTTGGAAACATACCTACTGCGGTTACGAGCAAAAGTTTTACCTCCCTGTCAGGTATCTTGCACTAACCACTAAAGCTAAAGCTTCGTGGGCACTGTAGGTCCAACGACCTGATCCACGGGTTTAACTTACCCATATCACCATAGTAGAGAGCGAGGTACCTTACAGTGGAGGGAATGGGAAGGTAACACTCCGTGCACTGAGGAAGGTGTAAGAGGAGACGAAATGGGAAAGAAAAGGCTCTCCTGCTAATAGATTGCAGTGGACATTGTTGACGATGGCTGGCGGGAAGGCGAGGAAGCTTTCCGTTGGTCAACGAACACGGCACAGCGATACGATAGTATTGATGGCGGCAGGCTAACGATAGCATTGTCGGATGATGTGCATTGCTTCACACAGGCACGGCAGGACACGGCAACTACACCATGTAAGTTGGGAATAGCTTCATCAGCAAGCACTTAGATTGCTAGAGGTATGTGCTATCGTGAATCTGGTTGGCGAGTTAGATCACCAGAGTACATATCACCGGCTCTCTTCTTGCGCCAACCACCCGGCAGCTACTGTAGAGGTACCAACCGACCGACCGTCCATCCCAACCAACGAGCCTTGTTATTGAAGCCAGCCAGCCACCAACAGTACCTTAGCATTGAGATAGATCCGCGTCAGCTATGCGCACCATTCACCAGTGATGCAATGCAATCTGTTTCAAGCTCATGATATTCCATTGAGAAGGGTCGAAAACCTAGTAGTTTCGACATGCTAATGCAAGTCCCTGTTCCATCCTCTACGTACTGATTCCCAGTTCCCAGTTCCAAGCCAGTTTTTCCCAGCCATGTCCCATTTCCCGTGCCTGTATCACCCGGACCGAATTCCTTTCCTGTAGAGGTACCTAATTTACCAAAGCCAGTCCTCAATAGGAGTGTTCAGCAGACCTGTTGAAAAAAAATTTGCATCGCTATTCCACTCTTCTGTGCTTGCTAAATGCAAATTCAAGATGAAAAAAAGACAAACGCGGGAGCAAGAAGTCAAAATGTCCGTCATGAAAACCCCACATTGCCACCCCCAAAGCACCTAGACCCCATCCCCTCCCTCGCTGTATCTCATAGCGGAATGTGAAAAGCGGGGGACATAAACAATCCTTGAAGCTTAAAGGCAACGCAGGCTGTGAAACGTTAGGTAAGTAGAGTGGAAAGAACAAAGGGGAAAAGAATGTAGCGAGAACAGTTGAGAAGCTCACATATCCATCCATCCATGTCCAACTTCGTCTACTGCGGTTGCGAGCCAAAGTAAAACCCCCTTGTCACGTACCTGGCACGGACCACCACAGCCAACGCTTCGTGAGCACTGTGTGGTCGACGACCTGGCCCACGGGTTAAACTTACCCATATCACCATAGTAGGTCATCATATCGCCACCTACGGGTCTGGCCCTCTGGATATGTGCGCGAAGAGATGACAGCCGGAGCAGTGAAGTGAAGATAGAATGTGGAGGTGGCAAGAACTGATGTTTGATGTTGAGTGCTGCCCACTCAACAGGCAAAGGAAGGGAGAGAAAGCCAAGCCTGGGAGGGAGCAGAGCTGCGGAGGCCAACAAGGGAGACATGTGGAGGATAATGTTTGTCCTGCCCCTGTCCTTGTCTGGTAGTCCCTTCCCCATCCAAGCTTTGGCTGTAGTGTAGATCATTGCAGCAGTGACCTGAAGGGAACCACTAGCTGGGCCCAGTGCCCATCTCTTGACGCTGCTTGCCAGACTGGTTTTGCGAGCAGCTGCGAAATGCGAAGAAGAAAAAAGAGAGGAAGATACGGATGGAGAAAAGAAAATAGAGGTAGGAAACAACCCCCCACCAAATCTAGTGAATCAAAAGCAAGTTTTTTTGGGTATCGCCTTCTGTGTTTGTTGTGTCGTGACCTCATGATCGTAATATTGGTATTGGTACAATTTGGCTTCCTGCAGTCGTAGCATCAAGCCGCCGCCTATCTCTTCGTTGTTTTGTGCTCAAGTGCTAGCATCTATGCATAATGCCCATACATCATTCCCGTAGCTGGAACCGCCACGCCCTGGGCATGTTCCCAGCCGTTGTGATGGCCATACCGGGACTCGCCCTGGTAGACTTGAGGCTGATGATACCCGGCGTGGTGATGGACACTGGCAAAGCTCATGGCGTGATCCTCAGGGCTGGGATAGTAACTCGCGCTACTGCTCGTGGGGTTCGCCGCCATGAGCGGAGGGCTGCCGAAACTGGCCTCGGGAGTGATGGGCTCGTTCATCACCGAAATTGGCTCCGACGCCTCCCTTTGAGCTTGGCCTTGTTGTTGCTGTTGCTGTTGCTGTTGCTGTTGCTGTTGCTGTTG